CTCACTGCCCAGGCTCGGTACGAGCGGGAGAGGGGCTGGAGCTCCATGGGGGTGACCCAGAGGTAGCCAAGGTGCCCCGATCTGTGGGCTGAGGGCTCTGTGTTCTGGGCTCCTGCATTGTGATAAACTCGGGTGTGAGCTCAGCTTTGTCCTTTTGCCTTTGACTCCTTTATTGACAGGTTGATTCCTCTCTGCTGTTCATCCTCCTCATCCTCAGCTCTGTATTGCTCCAGTGGCTCCATTTCAGAGCCAGTCCCCCCCCTGTGTTACAGCTGACCTTTACTTCCTCTGTTCTCTCACTCACAGCCCGCTGCTTGTGCAACACCTTTCTCTGGGTCAGAGACACGCCCTGTGCTGGAGTCCTTGAGGTGCTGCAGCCCTCAGCCTCCTCCCCTGTGTGCCCACAAGCCCAGAGCCAAAGGTTGTTTCTGGGTCTTCTGTAGAGATTTTATTCCAGGCCAGGGCATGTGTTCTGTCTGAGTGACTCTTCCTATGGATTTAACAATGAACAGCCTCACTTTTCATTTGTGCTGTCCATGAGACACCACCTCTCATTCTTTCAGATCTTAATAAGTTCAAATATAGGAGATATGAATTGCAGCTGTGCCTGTGTACTTCTCAAACACTTCATGCTTCTGCTGGCTTCTAAATAAATGAAATTAATTCTGGGTTCTTCCATCACAGTTTCTAGGAAGGTGTCCGCACCTTGAGGGCTCTGGCAGCCTCAGGAGCTCCAGGGCAGGCCCTGCATTGGGATAGGACTCTCTCTTTCTTTCCTGAGGTTCTGGGAGCTGTTTGCTGACAGCCTTAGCAGGGATCTGATTCAGCTGCCTTTCACTTTGCTTGCCTGAATGTCCCCTCTACCCAAGTGCTCACAATTTTGTGACCTCTTGAAAAGCCAGGTGTTATATTTTTAAGATGCTTCCAGTTTACTTTTTCTGCTGTTTCCTTTCCTGGAGCCTTTTAGCTTGGTGGGCTGTTTCCTTTGTTCCTTCCTGCTGCTTTTCGTGTTCCCTGTGTGTTCTGAGATGTCCTTCAGGATAAAAGCTGCATTTCAGAGCAGTCTGAATTGGAAAGGACCCACAAGAAGCACAGAGTCCAACTCTCAGAGAGAATTACCCACAGAGGGATCAAACCCATACCCGTGGTGTTATTAGCACCATGCTCTGACCAGCTGAGCTCATGTGTTGTTCCAGATTCTTGTATTTTTATTTCCAAAAATACCAAGGAACAGGTTGCTGCTCAGCCTCCTCTTGCAGAGGGAAGAGTTTTCTGTCAGCATGACTCGTGGAGCAATTTAAGAACAAGCTTGGACTTCCTTGATACTGATAGAATGAGAATTCTTTAGTTTGTGAATGAGTTTTTTACATTTACACACAGCTCTTTGTAGAGAAGCTACAGAAAATCAACCTGTCAGGAAAATACTGTTTTGTCTGCTCTGCTCAGATATCAGAGAGAGCAGAACTTCAGGTGCACACATCGTTTTACACATCATTCCTTTGGGAATGGTGGAGGGATTATCCTCCTTTTCAATTGTTTTTCTCTGGTTGGAGTGGTGGTCCTGTTAATATTTATTTGTTTGGTGCCAGAGCTCTGTGGGGAGAATGCACATTGTGCCTGGCCTGTTTCTGGGTGTGTGGCCCTCACTGATACTGTGCAGGGGAAATGCAGATTTTTCTTCTTTAGATGTTTCTGTGACCAAACTAATGTTAGAGTTAAGTTAAGCCAGGTTTAAATGTAGTTCTTAGCAATGCTGCTGTCTGTCCCAGAACAATGAGCTCTCCAGTGGAGGTGTCAAAATTAGAGAAGAATAAATTGAATTATAAATTATAGGGTGGATTTGACCCTCTCTAATTTCACAAGATGTCCTTTTGGCCCTCCCTTGGGGAATGCAGCAGCTTCTGGCAAGCTTGCTGTGCTCCCAGGGGATTGCATTTCCAGTGGGGGATTTGATCTGCTGCAACTGAGAGCAGGAGAGGGCGAGCCCTGAGGAGCAGCCTGCTCTTCCAGAACCTTCCTTGGGGTTACCTGGGACACTCTGGTGTCCTCAGGGTGACATGGGCCAGGCTGGTGTCCTTTCATCAGGGGCTTCTGCAGCTCAATCCTCCAGCTGGGGGAGGCTCTGGAGAGGCCAGGCTGTGTCCAGGTGTGTTGGTTATCAGGTGCAGGTGAGCAGACAGGTGACCTGAATGTTTTGTAGAGGATTTAGATTAGAAG